CCACGTGGCTTGTGGCTTACTGGTACTTTACATCTTGCTTCTCATGGCGGTGGCGGCTGGCAGCATCTCCTGACTCAGCCTCCCACTTCCCAGCATTCTCCTTTCTGCTTATCCCACCTATACTATACTTCCTGCGTAGCTACTGGACAATCAGCATTTTATTTATCAATCAATCAGAGCAACACATTCACAGCATCCAGAAAGACATCCCCAGCAGGCTAGTCCACAGAAGAGACCATGCTTCCCTTTAGATAGTACTATCCAGTGTCAGGCCAGGAGACAGAAACTTAGGATTTAAGAAGCAGGACAAAGCAGCTGCTATTGTACCAGTCATGTACAGCCTCCATCTTCCATGACACTTGTGGTCCCAACTCCAAGCTACTGATGACACCTTTCCAGGAGGAACCTCTGTCTTGTGTTGGGGCCACATTGAGGCCTGGAGTCATCTGGCCGGGTGCTTATGGGTTATTGAGGAAACTTTCTCAGCTGTTTCTTAGTGTGCTCTGAATGTTGTCTTTGAAAAAGATACTACATTTCCATTTCTCCTTAATCTGCAGTTTCCAACCATGTGCTTTTCCACATCCATGAGCTGCCAGTGAAGGACCACTACATCATATACACTGAAATCCTTTTGTCTGAGAAAAAATCTGAAGTAGTTGACCTACTAGGTGAGGAACTCCAGAGACTCCAGCTTCTGCCCATGTTATCTAATATCATTAACTATTTGAATGTGCACAACTACACTCTGGCACTCAGAACTACAAAGTCCCCTGGGTGTCCTTATAGTAGCTCTGGTTAAGGTGCTCTGTGGTCAATGTGCATGCTCTGAAGTGGGAAACTGTGGTCTGTGTAGAACTTCCATGAGCAGATGTGGCCTTGAGCACTGACCAATAGGACAGAAGTTCTAGCCAGTGACTTCCTACATGTCACTTGCTGGGGTCTCAGATTTCATAATAGGCAGGTCTCATTGAAAGTCTGTGTCCTATCAGAGACCTTTCATGGGCAATGGCTCCTAGGAACAGGAGGCAGGCTAGTGACCCTGAAACACAGGGTCCTTCCTGGTTAGCGTGTGACATTACTTGTCTCCTTAGGTTGTCAACTATATGTTTAGTCTTATGGTGGCCCTATGTGTCAGTGATACCCACTTCCTGTGGACAAAGCCAATCATCCATATCCCACCTCCGTGTTCACTCTGAAATCTCCTCCCCTTTTGCTTCCATCTTCCAGGTTGAAGGCCCTAGTGTTAGGCAGAGTTTTTGTCCTTGTGTCACTGGCTCCCAACAGAGCTGTGCAGTCATGCCTGTTCTGTTTTTCTGACCTCTGCCTACAGGAAAGCATCTAAAAGAAAACACAGAAGCCCTGGAAGAATTTAAGAAATTCATACAGCGCAAAGGGCTTCTCCAAGAAAACGTTATGGTGCCCGAGCAGAGGGGTAAGAGGATACTCCGCCCCGCCCCTCCCCTATGTGGCCTGTGTGTTATTCATAATACTGCTACTCTTGTGTAACTATGTGCCTTTCCTTGCCAGTAAGGCCTTTCTCTGATCTTGGGGCTGCAGAGGGTAATCTGGTTCTTCAACCATCACACCTTCTTTTATTTGATTTTTCCCCCTTGCTTTTACAGAGCATTGTGTTCCCAAACATCACAGTGGTAAGTGACCCTCTGAAGGAACATTGATAGGACACAGATTTGTCAGCTCCAGAGTTAAAGTTTCTATCTGTTCTTGGCCCTGCTCCCATCCCCTCACTAAGGAGGAACCCAGCTTAGCCAGGAAACAGTGACTACTTCAGGAGGTGTCCTCAAGGTTAATTCCCAAGATACTTGGGAAATCTCTCCTTTCTTTTCCCAGAGTCCCTCCCATACTGTGGTCTCCACTTGGTCTAATTTCATGCTCTAGGAACCCACTAAACACAATTTGAGGTCTACAAGATCATGGAGCTAGGATTGTTCAGGGGCCCATGTATTCTCTGGAGAGACCTCCCAGAGGCTTGATGGAAGGAAGACCTCTGATAGGCACCCACTTCCCAGGTTGCTACTCTTTGACTGCTGTTCCCATGGTAAGGGGAGGAGTCTCTCACTTGTGTTCCTCTCTTAGTCACAGCCCACCAGGACCACAACTGCTGAGCTATCTTTGCCACTAGTACAAGGCAATGACCTCACTGGACTACTCTTCCCGCTGGACCGCACCCCACTGAGCTGCATTTCCCCCACTGGAGATCCACTCCTTCCTTGACTGTCACTCCCACTGCACTGCTCTCCTGCTTTAGCTTTAAACTCCTGTCCCTGCCCATCTGAATCCAATAAAGAGTTTAGCATTTTTGTCTGAGTTCAGTTTTTATGTGGCAGGCCTTCTCAGTTCACAAGTTTGATGAAATATTGGAAGAGATACCAGACACCAAGTAACATGACACCCAACAATCCTGTAGAACTATATGATATCTTAGAAGATCAAGTAATGGTCAGCCAATGCCAAACAGCTTCAGAAGATTGCTGACACTGGGGCAGGAGATTTGGGTAGTCACTAGGGTGGGCAGGACTGGGCAATGGCATCAGGTTTACTAATGTCTGCAGGTCCTTACAGAGATCTTGCTGCATTGGGGAACTTCATGGAATTCTGTGAGGGACCTAGCTTTGAATTACCTAGGAGCAGTGGCAGCGGTGGAGGGAGGAAGATTGCAGGACCCTCCCTCATCACCCTCAAGCAAGGTAGACCTGGATGCAGATCTCTGGGTATGTTTACTCACCCTGGCTTTCTATGATTCGTCAGTATTCAAGGTCTGTGTTGACACTGCCTCAGGGACATGGTAGAACCACAGTGATGGAGGGCTGGGCCAGTACTTTGAATGATTACGATCATTGACAATCTTAGTTGTACATGTATTCCTGGAGGATGAGTGCTCAACATCATTTTCTCCCAAGAAGCTGCCCATTGCTCTCAAATGAGCATTAGCCATAAACCTTCAGTCAAACTCCCACCCTCACTTGTTGTCTTCTCCTTGCACCTATCTGCCTGGACTTGGTCAACTGGACATGGAGTCAACCCCTCAGGTAGCTGCTGGATTTGAACATGGAATACTCTTGCCATGTCTGAGCAATGTGTCAGGTGTCTTCTGTAACTGCAGGAAAGATGTTCCCAGGAACACTGAGCTTAGCACAGGAGTTGCAGGGTCCCACCTGATGCACTCTGTACTGTTGCACATTGGGAATGACAGGAACTTCCAAGTACAGTACTGCTGGCTCTTGGAGAAACCAGTGTGCACACTGCTCATTTCTGTGTAGGGAGGGAGTCTTGCGCTCCAGGATTTCAGTCAGTTCTGTAGTCAATGAGGAGCGTGAGGACTCCATATGCAGAAAACAGAGGAGCCTGGCCAATACAGCTCCTGTGAGTCTTAATCTCAGTTTCTTCTCCTGTTGCTGTCAAAAAACACTCTAATCAACAATTAGGAAGAAAGGGTTTGCTCTAGCTCACAGTTCAAGGTACAGTCCACAATGGTGGGGCTTTCCTGGCAGCTAGAGCATGAGGCAGCTACTCATATTATGCCCATAGCCAGAAAAGAGAATGAATGCATTAATGCAAGTGCTCACCATATGGCTTCACCATTTTATATACTCCAGGATCTTCTGCTTATGGAATGCTCCTGCCCACAGTTAAGATGATTCTTCCACAATCAATGAACATAATCAATATCATTTCCACCGTCATGACCAGTGGAATAAACTCATGGCCTCCCTGTGCCCCTCTTGACATCTTTATCCAAAGAGACTTATACTTGGTCACCTTAATGACCTGTCTGTGTTCAGACACATGAGAGGATAAACCTTAGTGTTGGGGGCTGTAGACTGAGAAAATTGATGCAGCTGTACAAATGGCTGACTCTCAATTGTCTCTGTTTGAGCTAAGAATCTCATGTGGGCCACAAGTTGTGGAAGGAGCCTCAATTTTGCAGAGCGGGCTAGGACTCCACCAGTCCTTTGGGCAGCCCCCCAGATAACCAACGCAGTGGGAGAGCCAATATCCTTTGTCAAAGTTGATGTCCCTGAGATCACACAAGTGAAATAACATGTAATTGTAATACCTTGACATACAGCTAGAGCTTTTTCAGCTTCAGGATAAAATCATGAAGCTCAGCCAGCAAGGCCATACTCCTCAGGAGCTTAGAATGAAACATTGGAGGTAGTTGATGGGTAAAGGTAATGAAGAAGAAGCAAGACATCTGAGAATAAGAAATGTTCTAAAAGAGCACAGCTGTATATGTTAATTCAGGTGACTGGGCTTGAGAGTGGCTAGAAGACTCTTAGAGGAGGTGTTATTTCAGGACATCCTGAGCCATTACACAGTGACCCTACCCACATCTAGGGTATGCCTACTAGGCATTAATAGCATTGACCTGAACTCTTAGAACATAGTGTGGGCTCTGCAAATCAGCAGGACCATGTGTGGAGGAAGAAGCCCAGTCCCTTTATGAGCAGGAGGAGCTGAGAAGTCACCTTGCTGGGAAGGTGTCAAGGACAGCTATGAGTGTCCAAAGTGGGAGAACACGCCTAGGAATTACAAGGGAATGAACTAACCCCCCTCCATACTGGTCCAGAGTGTAGTCTGTCTCCCCACTCAAGTAACTTATACTCTCTGGGGTCCTTCAGGAGTAGCAAACTTAGATGGTACAGGCATTGCAGAATATTGTGTCTTTTATCTGCAGGAAATAACAACCATATCACAACAGTAACAATATCTAATGCCATGATGGACATGGACTTTTCTATGACTGATGGCCAGGAGGGGTGTGGCCAGTGTCATTTTTGGCTATAAAGGGCATCCTCTGAGGAGCCAGCACAGTGACCTGCCTTGTCTGTGAGCACAGAGCCTGAATATTCTGCTCCTGACTGTCACACTGTTTGGTCTGATGGCTGTCTTGCAGTCCCAGGATGACCTGCCCATCCCCTCAGAAGAAAACAAAATGAGGCAAGGTGGGATGGTGGACAGGTATATTTGACTGCTGGCCAGTGTCTGAGGACTGGAGTTAGCACTCATGAGTGTTCAAGTTCTCTGAGTCTGAGCAGAGGCTGCTGTTCTCCAGCACACATGGGCTCCTGGGCCACAGAGTTGGAGCAGAAAGTGTCCTAGCAGCGACACCCAGAACCAGAAATTCTTACTTGATAGGGCCTTTATGTGTTGTTTCTGAGAATCCTAAGGGTTTGGAGCCTTTGGAGACAGGCATCTTCTGTTTCTATTGGGCCATCAAAATGTAGTTCTAGTCTACTTTTAAGGAATAAGGGGTTGGAGAGTGGAAGTTCACTAACTTGGGGTCTGGGATATGTGTTCAAGCTACACCCCTTATTGGCAACCTGGGGGAGACTTATGGCTGGACAAGTGTGGGATCATGACTGTCTGCTACAGCTCTCAGGTGTCTGGTTTATAAAGGTGACAGTGAGTCAAGGGAATCTGACTGAACTGAGGAGATGTTTGGTAGTGTTTCCTTTTATACTCACAAACTGGAACAAAAACATTGGAGTTCATGTGAGTGTTCCCCATGGGTACTTTCAGCTTTCTATCCCCTTCTCTGTCTGTGTTTAGACACTGATGACAGAAAAAGCCCCTTCCTTTGAGAGGATACAATCTTAGCATTCAAAAACATGGGAAGGGTTGATGTGGGATTTCAGGGGATATTGTGCTAAGACTGATGAACCAGCTGACCTCAGTAGAGCACAGGTATGTGTTCTGAAAGAGGCTGTGGGTTGCTTTCCTATTTTCCAGATCTGAGGGCCAGTGCATTAAGGTAGGATTCTGTATGCAGAGAACAGAGGAGCCGGTCAATATAATGACTGTGAGTTCCTGTCTCAGTTTCTTCTCCTGTTGAAGAGATAAAACACTCAAATCAACACCACTTAAGGGAGAAAGGGTTTGCTTTAGCCCACAGTTCAGTCCACAATGTGGGGCTCTCCAGCTGGAGCATGAAGCAGCTGCTCATATTATGCCCATTGTCAGAAGAAAGAATGAATGCATTCATACTAGTGCTCAGGTGACTTCACCATTTTACACAGCCTTGCATCTTCTGCCCACAGAATGTTCCTGCCCACAATTAAGATAAGTCTTCCACAATCAATTAACATAATCAATATAACATGACCAGTGGAACATCTCTCAGGTGATCCTAGATTGTGTCAAGTTATTAGTTAACATGGTACCCCTGGCTGCACCTTATTATCCCTTGCAAGGTAAGCTCCTGGGCTTGTAGTATCCCTGATTTTCTTACTTTTCAGGAAGGCCTACCCAGTTAATTCCCAGGTGGCTTTAGAGATCACAGGCTAGTCCACAGAAGAGACCATGCCTCTGTCCACTTTCAGACATGGAGACTGAAGCTTAGGATATAGGAAGCAGGGAAGTGTAGCTGCTAGGGGGCCATTTGTGCACAGCCTCCATCTTTCCTGAGACCTGTTGTCCTGACTCCATACCTGGAGATGACACCTTTCCAGGAGGAACTTGTGTCTTGTGATGGGGGTATAGACAAGCTTGGAGCCAGCTGGCTGGTTACTCATGGGTTACTGGTGAAACCTTCTAAACTGTTCTTAGTGTGTTCTGAATGTTGTTTTTGAAAAGGACACTACACACCCATTTCTCTTTATTCTGAAAATTTGGGCCATAAGTCCTTATACATCCATGAGATGTCAGTAAAGTACCACTACATCTTATACTCTGAAACCTTTTGTTTGAGAAAAAAATTCTAAGATGGACACCTCATAGGTGAGGGACCCCAGAGATCCCACCTCCTGCCCATGCTCTCTACAACCATTAGTTATTTGAAAGTACACAGCTATACCCTAGCACCCTCAACATTTTTCTAGCAGCTCTGCAAAGGGTGCTGTATGGTCAGTGTGCATGCTCTGGAGTGGGAAGGTGTGGTCTGTGCAGAACTTCCATGAACAGATGTGTCCTTAAGCACTGAACAATTGAACAGGAGTTCTAACCAGTGACTTACTACATGTCCCTTCTGGGGTCTCAGGTTTCATAGCAGGCAGTCTCATTGAAAGGCTATGCCCTAATAGATGTCATTTATGGACAGTGTCCCCCAGAGATAGGAGGCAGACTAGTGACCTTGAAATACAGTGCTCTCCTGATTAGAGTATGGTACTACCTGTCTTCTTTGGATGTCACCTATATGTTTGGTCATACAGTGGCCCTATGTAATAAGAATTTTTTGATCCTCAGTCTTAGGTTTCTCTGCTGATGCAGTAAACCAAATCAAGCCAAATTACATGTCCAGGTTTAATGAGCCAAGCATTCCAGGGTGATCACGGGGGAAGGAGA